CCTCCCTCAAGCGCGCCGTTGAGGAGAGCGGCTCTGAGCGTCAAGGCCCCGCGGCCAAGCGGGCCACCACCAAGAAGGAAGAAGCGCCCTCGGCACCAGCCGGCCCTGCAGGAGCCGCGGCCGGGACAGGCGCGGCTCCCTCGTCTAGTGGCGAGGCAGGTGCCGAAGAAGGTGCCAGCGGGGCCGCTGCTCCGTCGAGCACAGACAAGCGGCGACCCGCGGAGCCGGAGGGACCGCCGCCGCCCAAGAAGCGATTCACAACATGGCAGGATACCATGGAGTCGCCGGCTCCCCAACACCGAGTTTCGGGGGTTTACGGACTCTCGAACGAGGTTCCCGGGGCCGATTGGCGCGACGTGGACTGGGATGCGACTCCACCGCCGGGGCCTGGAAGGCCCGGCGCCCGCGACGTGGATCCCAGGCTCACGGTCCCCCTTGATCTCCAACATGATGAACAGATCAGGGAATTCTTCCGAGGCGGTGGTGAGCATACGCTCGAGCAGCTCCTCGCGTTGGCGCGGCGCCGGAGGCGCGCGTTCGTCTACCAGGCTGCGATTTTGTCGAACAGGCCAGTGTTTGAAATCTGGCCCGATTACGATGAAAACGAGCTTGGACCGACACCCGAGCGCGTTCCGCTCCTCACAGGCAAGGTCTGGCCTTGGGGCTGGTGGGATTGCTTTACTTGTGGGCGTGCGAACCCACCAGAACGCAATACCTGCCGGCACCATGATTCCGAGGAGCTCGGAGGTGCCCCCTGTGTGGGGATCTTCGAGGACAGCCTGTACTGGAGCACGCCGGTGGACCTGCGAACGGCGCCGGCGTGGTTCATCGAGGTCTGGCTCGATGAACATAAGGAACGCATAAAGGAGTACCTTTATGCGAAGCGTTCGGACGCGATCGCCGCCGCAATGTCCAACGCCTACTGGACCTGTGGGCGGGACACATGCCAAGAGAGGAACATGTTATGGCGCAAACTGTGCTTTAAGTGCAGTGGCCCTAAGTCGGGCGCGTCGTTCATAACCCACGGCATGCCGCCCCAGGAAGGCGACGATGAAGCTGCTTCTTCGTCGGAAGAGAGCGAGGGCACGAAGATGGAACGGATCGAGCGTTCCATCAACGCCGATCCCCTTGCGGAGCATGCGAGGAAATTCCTCCGCTCCGGACGGAAGAGGCTCCGCGCTGAAAAGCGCAGGCAGGCAGAGCTCTCTCAAGACTCTGCCCGAGCCTGGTGGAGCCAACCTTCCTCCGGGCGCGGTGCACCCAGTGGGGGCCGCAGCTCTGGCAGCAAGGGTGGTGGCAAAGGTGGTGGAAGGGGAAGCTCGAACCGCTACGGCAACCGAGGATGGTGGGCCGGAGGTGCTGCCGGACTGGCATACTCCTCCCGACTCGGCGAGCGTGCTGGGCAGCCCGCCCTCACGCTCCCACTGCGTGGCCCGGGTGGCCACAGAGTGGCGCCCGAGGCCCCTGCCGTTTCTTCTCGCCCCGCTGTCTCTTCCGGGCCCTCGAACCGTGGTGGGTTCCTTGGGGCCGTGCGCTCGATAGGCGCTGCGGTCTCCAGCTGGGCTCTCTCCAGGAGAGCGCGCAATCGCGCAGCCCACGCCACAACGGGCAACATTGGATGGAAGACGGGTTTGGTGGCCGCTGCGCTGGCGCCTACCCTCTTCACTGTTGAGCGCGGTGCCAGAGAGGTGGCACACGTGAGCCTCACTGCAGTTGCCACTGCGGCGGAGGACCTCATCGAGGAATCCTCTGGTATCCTCGTTCGGGGTGTCCGCGTGGTTGGCTTGACGGCCGTCGTCCTACTGTGGACGTTCGCGGCCGTAGTGCTGTGGTGGGCCGGACGTGTCGCCACTAACCGGCTAATGCACGCCATGAACGGTAACCCCTTTGGGAATGCTGTTCTGGTGTCGCTCGAAGGCCGGGAGGCTGTCTTTGAGGTTGCATCAAAGACTAAGGCCGGAGCACACAGGGTTCTTGTGAAGGTCGGGTCGGGCGCGGACGGCGCAGGCTGCGACTGCAAGGCATTCCTCAACGAGGGACGTTGTGGTCACATAGAACGCGCTGTTGAAGCTGCGGGGCAACTCGTGGCCATGACAGGCGCGAGCGCTGCCCCAACGCTGTCCGTCGCCCCGGCCGCGACTAGACGCGCCCGTGCGATCCTCGGCGCGCCGGCCCTGGAACAGGGGTGCCTTGCCGGCATGGTGTCGAAAGCGAGATCGCTCTCTGAAAGAGCTCGGAATGTCGGGAACCCGTCCGAGGGTTGCCTTGACGGCTTTACCAAGCTCAGAGGCCGCCACGAGGTGGCCACAGTGTCGGCGCCTCCGACAGAGACTGTTCCGAAGACGCCTGCAGCGGAGGCTTCCCGCCAGGGTACCTCTGCGGCGTCTCCGGCTCCGACAGCTCCCATGTCGAGCCAGGCACGGCGTGTCAGAGACTTCCCGATCCCTGACGGCTTCGAGCGAGCCGGGGTCAAGTTTCTGACCCTTCCGGAGTATCACGCTGTGGTACAAACGATGCTATCGGACGCTGGGCATGGGGACCACGTTTACGTGCGAGCCTACAGCTTCGATAGCAAGCCTTTGGTTGGAGCCCTCGTGTCCTCGCTGGAGCGAGGCGCCCGAGCCCACGTGCTTGCCGACAACTCGCAGACGAGCCGGACCAAGCTCCAGCTGCAGTCCCTCAAGGAGCTAGGGGCGGCTGGCGTCCAGGTCCGTGTCGGCAAGGGCACCTCGGTCAAGGCGGCTTACGCCGCCGAGAACCGCACGGACGTGAGCATCGGCGCAGGCCTCGCGGGCATCCACCACGCCAAGACGGTGCTCGTGACGAGGCCGGACTCCACAGTTAGCGCCGTGATAGGAAGCCTAAACTTTAGTGCTAGTTCACGGGCCAACGCGGAGGTCGGCATCGCGGTCGCCAGTGTGCTGACCTCTGAATTTAGCCAAAAGTGGCTAGATTCGTTTGGCACCGAGTGGTCCAAGGCGCTGAAGCTCGAGGAGTTCGAAGCACCTCAGCGGAACCACCGCGGGCGGGCAAAACCCTCAAATGTCCAGCAGCCCGCCGCGCAACCCAACGTGGAGCCGCAGTGACCGTGGACTAGAAGTCGCGGACTGCGCTCCGCCCTTCTAGCCACCTGTGGCAACTTCAGTTTTGGTCGCAGCACCTAGCTGCTTTCCGATGAGACGACAGGGTGGCGTATCCGCTCTACAGGTCTTTGACGGGAGCGGCTAGGGAGGCACGGTAGTGCTCCCGAAGCGCGTGGAGTAACGCCGCAGCTTCAGCTGCTCGTTTCACCAGCCCTGTGGCCGCAGTGCGGCGCAGGCTGTGTACAGTAGGAAACCAGAGCCTCGTGCAGCACAGGCCGTGAAAAACGAAGGTCTTGTGCTGAGTGCGAAGGGTTTGTAGGAGGGCAGGGTCTGTAGGTCAGTTTTACGGCCTCCGGCCGCCCGCGGAATCCTACGGCTCTATCGTGCTCTCGGCTGAGGGGCGAATGTAACTGTACATAGTCTGCGGGCTGGCTGTTGTGCTGTATGCTTTTATGCATGCTCTTCTGTAATTCGTATTCATAACATTTTTGGCTCAAGTGAGCACGGCAGTGTGTCGTTGGTAGCTTCTCGTTGCCGCGACGCAATTGCGCGCAGCCCGTCCTGGGCGGACGTTCGACCTGTCACGGTCGTTGGACTTTCTGCTTGGACGGAAAACGAGGGTGCGTGCTGCCCCTTTGGGTTTCCGTTCTCCACATTACCCTGAGCCCGAAACCCTGCATGCAGGCCCTACTCATGAGCAACCTCCCATGCCCCGTGCAATCCCTGGGGCAGCTTTCAACAGCTTGAGAGGTCCCTGAAAGCGTCAGACTGTTGCGAGTTTCGGGTACGGGCTCGGATCTTTCGCCACTTGGCTGGGTTCTTGTTAAGGAGTTTAAGTTAAGTTACCATAATAGGGATGTGTAGTAAACAATATGGCCTTCGTATGATAGTAACTTAAGTTAAGCTCCTTAACTAAAGCACTAAGTCAGTATACCAAAAAATCTCGAAGTTCTCCTACTTTGGCCTCCCAGCACTCGAACGGGGAGTGGTTTCTTGCATCTGCGTGCAGATTGCTAACATTTTTTTCGGCCAAGCCCCCAAGCCTCATAGCCTAGCATAGGGGGCCTCAATACTTACCAGTACTATTTTGGAGGTTCCTTATCGTATTTCTCTCATAATATACCACCCGAACCCTATTCTTACTACAGAGGCCTCTATGTTGCACCTTGACCCCTACCTCCTAAATGAGGCAGCCGGCCTGACCAAACCCCACGGCTTCGGGTTTGAAGCAGAGCCTCCCTAAATGTCGACCATTGAGGTGCTTCATATGGGGGTTTCCGAAAATAGGGGACCCTAAGATAGTACCCTAAATAGTACCAGTTCTGAATCCAAATCCCCTTCCCCGTGAAGCCTACGCCCGAATGCTAACCCTTCCGTCTTGAGTTTGAACCTGGGGATCCGAAAAGTGTTAAGGGTTCTACCTCCTCTTAAGGGTTCTACCCTTCGAGGGTTCTAACCTCCATAATTACTACTTACAGGGTCATAACCCACTATTTTGTAGGGTTTGGGGTCACCGGGAAAGCCCTAACTCTTCAAGCCAGAAGGGCCAAAAACCCTAAACCCTAAACCCTAAACCCCATAAACTCTAAACCCTAAACCCTAAACCGTCAACTCCATGTATCGGAGGCAGCCGAACCCGACACCTGCCACCCGAAAAGATGCTTCCTCACCTAGCACTGCAGATGCAAAGGGGAGTTTCCGAAAACAGGGGTACCTTATTTAGGGGTCCTTATAACAAGGATCGGGCTTGGCTCCTGAGTCAGGGCGTATTGGTTTGGGAGGGTTCAGGGTCTTGTTTAGTTTAGGGTTTTCCCCAGGGTATTGAAGGATTTTTATACAGCCTTCTGCTCAAATCCTAGATCCGGAATCTGAAACCAAATCCTTCTACCCTTGAACTCTTCTTGCAGGCTGAGATGCAGGTCCCTCTTCCTTGGCTGCTTCTGCACAACACACGAACATGAATTATAACTCGTACCTTAACTAAACAAGAGGAAGGCTTCTGGGCTTTTCGGCTGTAGCGGGTCTAGGGAACCCCAAGGTACACTTGCTGGATGCCGTAGTCCTTGTTCTAGTTTTTGGGGCTTAGTAGAGTCTGGGCAGTGAGGACTTCGCGGGCCTAGGCAAGTTTAGGCTCTAGTTACCACTTGTCGGGTATCATGGGAAACTAAAGGTAAACCTTTTTGGTTCTATATGGATTATATAGGGCCTATACTACCCAAAAAAGGCTAAAGGTTACCTACTCTAATACTAAGAGCTTCAGCATATGTCAACCGCATGGCAGCACTCAGCGCGAGCACCAAGCAACATCCCCAAGGGTCCAAGTACCTGATAACCATATACTCTCTAAAATCCTAAGGTACATAACTATTATCCGAAAACCGGGTACCTAATTATTGGGTCCTTTGGATCCTTGGGGTATACACAACCCTGGCGACGACAAAACTCAGCAGCCGACCGAGCGTGGTATACTCGGATCCCAAGTACAGCCCTTACTGAGGCAGGGGTGTCTATACATCAGGGATTGATACTAACTGAGTACAACGAGTAGCCGGGCCACATACTTTTAGCATCCTAGCCCTTCAGACATATCCTTTGGATACTGCCCCCATACAGAAATAGTCTAAAATAGGGCCACTATTAAGGGCCTAGTATATATATATATATATATATATATGGATATATATCCAACTGTCACTGAGTGGGGGCAGTATCCAACATATCCTAAAGAAGGGGGCTGATCCAAATTATTTTTCCAAGTGGTGATCAGTTAAAACCTCTTGCGCCCAACCTTGTGAGCTTTCGTGCCCTTCTTGCGGGCGCACCAGTTCTTGCATCGTTTTACGAAGATCTGGATAGGCTAGATCTCCATTCTTAAAAGCTCAACCTATGCCATAAAAAACCCTTGTTTCCAACTCCAACCCTTCCCTAAAGGAACCCTGAACAAAGCCCTGAAAGCACGCGCTGTGCCGAGCTTCTTCCTCGACATCTCGCCGCAGGACCTTCTCGGCGCCCAAAACTTCCCAAAGTAGGTCGAAGAGGGAGCACAAAAGAACCTCGAAGGGTTAAAGATTTGGGGTTCAGGGTATTTAAGGGTATAGGGTTTAAGGGATAAGGGCGCAAGAGGAACCTCGAAGAGTAGCTGTAGCCGTTGAGGGTTGAGGGTTCCCAAAACCTTGTTATTGCGGGTTGCCTAGGCCATACTTATTTCTGGACACGTGTGTCGGCACCTATAACATGCAGCTCAGCAGCATTCTGATCTTGATGCGTTTGCCAAAGGCTTTCTTTTGCCTGGGCGATCTCTTCGTGTCATCCATACACTCTTGTAGCCACTCCAAGCGCGAAGCCACACCACTCTCACACACGAACGCGCACATACGAACACACACACACACAAACACAAAAAAAAACAAACACCGACCTAGCCACCCAAGAAAGAACCTTAAACCCTAGGCCCTAAACCAAACCACTGAAAGGCCTGGAGCCGCAGCTCAGAGCACAATGTACAAGGCGGTGGTATCGAAATGCAGCCTCTTACTTTACCCTGGGCATCAAAATAGCCCAAAAGCCATATATAAGATGGTCTTTGGGCCCAAAAGCCTCAATATATGAGTCCTTAGATGCCTAGGGTTAGGATACTTCAGGCTCTCCGGTCTACACGCTCGCAACTCGGACAAGCCAGACGAGGTCTCTGAGTTCGGGTCGGCGGCTCCCGGGTCTACGATTTATGGCTTTTTTGATACTTGCATGGTCCCAGCCATGAGGCTTAGGGTTTAGGGGTCAGGCTTTAGGATTTAGGATTTAGGGTTTAGGCTTTAGGGTTTAGGGGTCAGGGTTTAGGATTTAGGGTTTAGGGTTTAGGGAACTCCAGAAAGTTGGAATATGGTTTCAAGGTAGGATACCTTATCATTTACCATAAAGGGCTTAGGATAATCATATTCCAACTTTCTGGCTTTTTTGATACTTGGCAGGCTTAATGGTTTCGGGTTCAGGGTTTATTAGGGTTTAGGGTTTATTAGTGTTTATTAGGGTTTTGTAGTGTTTATTAGGGTTTTGTAGGGTTTATTAGGGTGATTAGGGTTTATAGGGTTTATATAGGTTGTTCAACACTCGAGCCACAGGTACCAGGTAGAAGAACTCAGAGGTTTTCAGGGTCTTGGCTACTTTCTCTAAGTGCGTTTTTACAGGAAGGGCCTGCAGTACCGAGCGAGACTCGAATGCAGGACTGCATCCGATCCCCGATCGGGTCACATCTTGGGGTTTGGGGTTAGAGATTTTAGGGTTTAGGGTTTAGGCTTTAGGGTTCTTGGGGTTTGGGGTTAGAGTCAGGATTTCGGGTAATTTAGAGTTCGCCTTGAACCCAGTCTGGATTCCAAACAGCAATCCGCAAATAAAGCCCGCCTGATGGATAAACGCCTCGCGCTGTGGCTCGCAATAACGTATAGATTGTGCGCGATCCTACCGATACTGAGGCCCTCAAAACTTAAGCTGTTCCCCGAAAAGGGTTCCCGTGTGGTAACTTTAGGGCGAAAGTACATAGTACATGGGCACATGGACCCCTAGCGAGATGGTGTGTCCTGCAACATCGAAAGGATATGTTAGAGCTCTGTGGCTTCTGCTCTACATATGACTAACAGATCTCCCTACCACCACACATACTTGAGGCGCACCATACCTGAAACCTTTGTTAGCTCAAGCCAGCCCTACACCGCGCATTAAACCCCACAGCCCTAAACCCTTAACCCTAAATCCTTTTTGCAATTGGCTTGGATTTCGGTTTTCCTAAACATTGAACCCCACTGCCCTTTTTTACACCTGGCACGGACTACGCATAAACCCTAAACCCTAAACCCTAACCCTAAACCCTAAACCCTGATGTGCTGCCGGGGCTCTCGTCGCGGGCAGTGAAGCGTGAGCGCCTCGCCCGGCCGCGCGCCGTCTCGTCCACCCAGGCGTTCCAGATACTTCGAGCCTTAAGGGTTTAGGGTTTAGGGTTTAGGGTCCACCCAGGCGTTCCAGATACTTCGAGCCTTTAGGGTTTAGGGTTTACGAGCCTGTGAGTTGAAGGTGGATGAGTTAAAGCTCTTCAGAGTAAAGGGGGTCTATCTAACAGGGGACCTAGCAAGTAGGATCATGGATACTTCGAGCTTCTGTTACCATTAAAGAAAAACCATATATTTGTTTACTATAGATCTCTAGTATGGTAACTTAAGTTAAACCCCTTAACAAGAATCCAGATGAGTTGGGGGAGGGGGATTAGGATGTCCTTAAGGGGGGGTGGTCCAAGGGGGGTAGGTAACCTCTAGTAATCCCCATTATTCCCCAATACTCGCTAAGCTTCCCTAAGGTTCCCCAAAGCTCCCTAGTACCCTCCCCCCTTGAACCACCCCCCCTTAAGGATCCTATAAGGGGATTTCAAGGTACTCAAAAGTTCCCTACAAGGGTTCTGCAGCGGAACTAGGGGGGCTTGGGTTGCAGGTTTAGGGCTTGCCTAAAGGGTTTAGGGTTTAGGGGTTTAGGGGTTTAGGGTTTAGGGTTTAGGGGTTTAGGGTTTAGGGTTTAGGGGTTTAGGGGTTTAGGGTTTAGGGGTTTAGGGTTTAGGGGTTTAGGGGTTTAGGGTTTAGGGTTTAGGGGTTTAGGGGTTTAGGGTTTAGGGGTTTAGGGTTTAGGGGTTTAGGGGTTTAGGGTTTAGGGGTTTAGGGTTTAGGGTTTAGGGTGCCAAGACCGTTCTTTGAATCTGGCCCTGGTGGTCTATGTAGGGCATAGCGAAGGCCAGTTGTGGGGTTGAGGGGTGCGGACTATCTTTTTGGGTTGGGGATTGAAGAAATGGGTGCTTCGAGACTTCGAGCATGCGATGGTTGGGTGTAGGGAGTGTGGCTCTCTTCAGTCAGGGTTTCGGAGGGAAGTGTAACCCTCTCTTATAACGTCCTCGCGGGAGATGATGAAGCTCGATCTGTGAACCATACTTAAAGTCGCTTCGGGGAGATGTTACACGCTACATCCCTGAGCCCTGAGCCTTAGACGCACTACCTTGCATGGACACCGGAAGCGATTTGTGAAACCAAGGTGCCTGCTAGGACCCAGGAGCCATTAACAGCAGTGGCTCGTGCACCGATTGCATATAGCCCCTATACCGGCACTTCCCGCAATCCCAGGCTCATGAGTAAGCAGGTCAAGCCCGAGCCCAGACGCCAAGGCAGCTTTATATGCTGTGAAGCCGCGGTTGTCCAGTGCTAGCTCCGTGTTGGGATCCACTTCGTAGTCTCCAAACACCTGTGGATTTAGCATTCAGAGTTTAGGATCTGGTCAAGGGTGAGAGAGGCAACAGAACGATGATTATGATCGTCGCTCAGCAGCATTTCAAACTACCAGCTGCTCAATCTGAGCACTGACTATTCGGGTGTTTCCAATGACAGGCCGTGATGGCAACTTGTTGCGATCTTGGTTCCATGTATGCGTAAGATGTTAAATAAGGACCTTTGAATATTTCGAGCAAAACCAATCCTGGAGACCCTTGATCCCCAAACCCCTAACCCTAAACCCTCAATCCATTAAAGAAACCTGAACTCCAAACTCGAACCATAAACCCTGAACCCTAAACCCGAAAAGCTGAACCTCTAAATCCCAAAGCCCCTAATCATAAGAAAAGCCATGCATGCACCTTGAGCGCCATCGACCGAATCTCTTCTTTGGTCTGGGGGAGCTGCGAGGCCCGCATCTTGCCTTGGATTTCTTGCAGGCAAATATATATATATATATATATACATATATATATATATATATACTTGGGGTTTAGGGTACCTTTGAAAGATGTGTTTACAGTAACTTGCAAGTGCCTTTTAAATCCTTTCAGGGGCTCTCGGATGCGCATTAGAGGGCCGAGGGTGTAGTAACCCTTCAAGCCGTGTAGCGCCTTATCCCTCAACGCCCAAAACCCATAAGACAACAGCCCCGAAGACGAAACACACTGACTAAATGTACTGATGCGCACACACACAGAGATATATATATATATAACATAATATAATATATAATATATATATATATATATATATATATATATATCTCTCTCTCTCTCTCTCTCTCTCTCTCTCCGTCTGTTTATCTACTTATCTATCTATCTAACCATGTCAGACACACAGATATATATATATATATATATATATATATGTATATTATATACATATATACACCAACGTGCGCCCAAAAACCGCAGGCTTCAAAGCCAAGTGACGCAACAGCTGGCGGAGCCACTGCTCAACTTCTTGGGCCTTTTCAGAAGGTCGCCCCGGGTTCGGGATCTTAAGAGATTAGGGCTTAGGGTTAAGGTTTACGGACTAGGGCTTAGGGCTAGGGTTTATAGGGTTCAGGGCTTAGGGTAAGGGAGCTATTGCAGTGAGGGTTTAGGGTATAGGGTTGGGGTTTAGGGCTTAGGGTCAAACAGAAATTGATAATTGCGTCTTGGTGGTCCTTGGTTAGGATTGTAGAAGATTGGAGTAATGCAGGATGGTACATGGGAGAGCGTCTATTGATATAACATGCGTAGACCCATTTTAAGGTGTAGGTAGGATTTGGACCCCACAAGAGTCATGATTAGGCAGGTCTTCAAAGCAAAGAACTGAAGCCCCCTCCCCACACAAACAAAAACATGCTGATACTGAGATTTAGGGTGTTGGGTTTTTGCTTGGGGGGTTGTTGTGCAGGTTTTAGGGTTTAATGTTTAGGCTTTACGATGTCAAGTGTAGGATTTATGATTTAGGCTTATAAAGTTTCAACCAGAACCTAGAACCCCCCTAGGCCTCAAAAAACAACAACTCTCAAGATATCGGCAACTGGCCCTAGTTTCAATATCCCCCCCATGTAGTTTAAGAGTGTTCCTTCACTATGGGGGCAGATAGGGGTCTCTGCGACAAGCAGACCCAAACCCCCATCGCCTCTTGGAAGTTTGCGAGCTTCCGCTCTTTTTCCTCAGCTGGCTTCGGTTTCTGTGGGTTTCGGTTTTTCCCTCCTACTTAGCAAGGACGAAGCCCGCATTGCAGGGTACTTTTTGCCTCCTACTTAGCAAGGTGTCGGTTTAGAACTAGGGCTTTAGGGGTGTAGGCGTTTTGAGGTTGAGGGTTTAAGTTCCTGTAGGTTGCGAGGTAGAGCGGGTAGACAACCCCCCAGGCTACAGTAGCAGTCCGATGACTATAGCAGCAAGAGGGGTTGACCCGTACCAGGTGGTTTGAGATGCCGATGTGAAGCATCAAAATGGGTTCATTTCTAGATCAAGGCAACACCCTAAACCCTCAGGGTTAGGGTTTCGCGTTCGGGAGCTTCGGGTGCTGTGAAGGAGGAAGGTTCGGGGCGTTTGGGAAGGTTACAGGCTCTTCAATTCGTCGTCCCCCTCAAACCCTAAACCGAAACATAAAGTTGGTGCAAGACTTTCGGGGGCCTCAAAAGGTAGGATGAAGGTAGGTAGGTGGGATATTCCCAAATAAGAGTCCTTATAGAAGGGGTCCTTAATCCCACCTACCTTCATCCCACCTTGTGAGGCCTCCGAGACTTGGGGAGGAATTGGAACTCAAGGGTTGGTTTAGGCCTCGAATTGCGATGCCAAGTCCTCATGAGGCTTGCTCCCTAAGGCTCCATGTACCTTTATAGTAGATACTTAAGCCTTAAAGGGGTCCCTATATAGGTACTTTAAGGCCTAAGTATCTACTATATGGGTACATGGAGCCTTTGGGAGAGGAGCTTGGAGAATTTCAACTACGATGATGGGTTGCATTCTACGATGAATATACTAAGGAACCCAAAGGAACACTGCTGGTACTTTTTCAGGCTTCTGTACTACCCACCCAAAACGGCCAACATGCTACCAACTCGGCTGCTAAGTCGTGAACCTGCCCATGCCCACCCATTGCACTCACTCACGGGTCTTGAGTTTGGGGCTTTGGAAATTTTGGGGTTTAGGTCTAGGTGTTGAGGTACTTGCTTTTCAGGGTTTAAGAGTCTATAGAGGTTTCCTATAACAGATTGTGCTTTGAAATCTGGCTTTGAGCATCCAGTGTTCAGGATTTCCGGGTCAGCATTCAAGTTGTGCCACCAAAGAACCCTTGTGCAGCATTTCTGCCCCAAGCGACAGCACTCACTAATGCTCTAGGTCCCTAAACCCTAAACCCCTAAAGCCTAAACCCCTGAACCCTAGACCTTGAGCCCCTTCTAAGAGACCTTTATCCCGAAGTTCAGCTCTAGACCCTACATTGCGAGAGCCAACACTTATCCTAAATGAACTGAAGACAACCCTACATCAGCCCTAGAAGCCCGCCATCAGCCTCATATCGACCCTGTCTCTATATAAACCCTACATCGGTCCAAACAAACCCTCCGTAAGCCCTATATCGACCAA